AAAAAAAAAAAAAAAAAGAAACAAAGAAAAGAAAAAACGGAGAAGAATAAGCTGGATATGCTTACCTGAGCCCAAGATCAAGAGCTTCCCTCTGAGGTTCAGGGCTGGAGGCCGGAGGTAGCGGGGAATGAGACGTTTGAGGCGATATAGGTGGTTGGTGTCCCACTCCTGGATACAGGGTGTTGTTGTTGTACATGTTCCACAAGGTCAATCGAGACATTTCGAGGGCGCTGAACGCCCCGTCTCTCGAGGGCGTCGAGGACGGGGGAGAGGCGCTTCCCGGCCGGTGCCCCATCGGTGGCGGTGTACCGCTTCTCAATTCCTTATTCAACAATTTCACGTATTCCACCATGCGTGCTTCGAATTCGGACGGCGCCATTCCGGGTATGGGGCCTAGACCAGAGAACGTGGTGGTTCAGAGAACGTGGAGGCCATATATTCGACATATTCGAACATATTCAAGATCTCAAGAGCGGTTGAATGGCCGTTACTGGTAGAGTAGGGAGAATTAAAAGGGAAACCGTCCCTTAGAGTTCTAAGGTAATCGAAGAAATTGGCGCAGCGTCGACAAATCGTGTCTGCGGACTCCCCCCCGCTCGTTTTCGACGTCTCGACAAATGACTTGTCCAAATTGCGGTTTCGCTACTTGTCTGTCCGCGCTGCGTATATACGCCTCTCCCCTCCCCTCGCCTCGCCTCAACCTTCCACTATTGTTCTCGCCCGACGAGGAGGGACGTTTTATCGAGGCGAAGAGCGGCGCGGAGTATTGCGTAGAGTTGGTGGAAATGGAAATCGGAGGGGCGGCGCGAACGCGAGCGAGAAGGGTGATGGCGGTGGTGGTGGTGGTAGGGGAGCGAAATTGGTGCGATGTCGGGCGAAAGGGTGGCGAAACGATGGTGGGTAGAAGGAGGAAGAAAGGGGTAGGGAAGTAGGAATGCTCGTTAGCGAGAGTCATCCGTTAACGCCTGTCTCCCGGAGGATCGTATAATCAATTACGGCTCCTTCGCTCTCGCATCATCATCTCCGGGGAGGCCTGGAACCCTAACTACCGATTTAAAATAAACCCACTGCTCCCCTCCCCCCTATCATCCCTTCCCCCCGCCCGCGCCCGTCTCGCTCCCTCCCTCCGTCCCACGCTCCATTTCCCCGATTTCCGGCAGGCAATTTTCGTTTGCAATTTTCGGCGCGGAGAAAAGGGAGGAAGAGGAGGGACAGGCAATTCTTCCCTCCTCCATTTTCGCGAGAAATGGAAAGAAGAGATATACAGGGCATAAGTTGCACTCACCTGCATTCGGTGGTTGTCCCGGTAGTCCCTGCGAGTGTTGAGGATGGTGCGGGTGGTGTGGCAATGGGGTGTGCGCAGCGCTGCCGTTTACCAATGACTGCGATCCGTGGTGTTGGCCACCGGCTGCAACGGCTGTGACCAAAGATAACGGGGACATTTGCGCGTGCAACGCCAACGAGTTGGGCGTGTGGGGATTCCTTTGAACGAGGCTCTCGTTCGTCGTGCTACCGCTTGCAGCGTACGTCCCGTAGCTGCTTCGCCGCCCCTCGCGACGATTCCCATCGATTGCCGCTTGCAACTCTGCGGGCGTCGATAGTCGTCTCTTCTCGCATTCGTACGGATATAAGTATTTCATGTACCTGGAAAAGGGGAAAGGGAGAGAGGAAGAAAAAAAAAAAAATGAGACAAGAAGAGAGAGAGAGAGAGAAAAAGGAAAAAAGCCACGAGAAAGCGGAAAGCGTGTTTGATTTTCCCGCTCGCTTTCTAAAACAATATTGCTTTCCTCGAGAGTCGAGCGATTCGTCGACTTCTTTTTTTCTCTTTCTTTAAGCGGAATGAAAAAAAAGCGTTAAAGGGGAGGAGGGGTCGGCATTGTCCTCATCGAGGAGGCGCGGAGGAGGACGCGGCGCGGTTCGCCGAACGCGAAATTGGCAAGGCAGATCCGAATGTACTCGATGTACTCGTCGCGCGTCGCGCCGCTTAATTTAATCCCGCGTCTGGAGCGTGCCTCGCTCGGTCGAGTTTAATGCTCGACCAGGCCCCGCTAATTGCACCTGAACGATGTCGTCGTTCGCGACAGATGAATCGTTGTTGGAAACGGTTCATAAACAACGCGCTAACTTTGTTGTTTACCGAAAACTGGTCTCTCGAAATTATATATATATATATATACCGTGACACATGCAAGAGAGTGAGAAATGAAAGGTAACACGAAAAATTTGCTTGGAATTTCTATCTCGGGATGGAAAAGAAGAAGAAAGAAAGATATCGCGACGCTTTTAAACGAGCGTGAGAGAACGAATTGGCAGAGGAAGAATTGTGCGAAAGAGAACCGAGAGATTCGTAAATATTTTTATTTTATCGAAGGTAGACGAAAGAAAGAAAGAAAGAAAGAAAGAAAGGTTTGGCAGCAGATCGACTGACGCTCGCACACACTTTCGTGGATAGACATATTGCGAGAACCGCGGCCTATAATTCGCGTAGGGATCGTTCGATTTTTACGATTGTCTGCCAGACTGCGGCCGAACTAACCCTTCGGCCCGGTTCTCTCCTCCCCCTCCTCCTCCTCCTTCTCCTTCGCTTCTTTGTCTTCTTGTTCTCATTCTTTCCACACCCGTTCTCCCTCGACGACGAACTCGTGCGTGCAGCAACCACTCCGCGTGTATAACCCCGTAATAGTTCCTCTTTCGAGCGTTCCTCTTCCACCCACTATAAATCCCTCTTTCCTCTCGAATTCGATTCGATTCAAAATTCGACCGCTCTCTCTCTCTCTCTCTCGTTCATTTCCACGGAAACTTGGTTTCCAGAGAGAACGGTTAATTTCAAAGACGCGAGAAACGAGCATTTGGCACGAGTTTCATTCCTTGTTGACTCTCTCTCTCTCTCTCTCGAGATTCTAACAACTTATAACACGTTGCAAAAATATCGGATTGTCCCGAGGGAGTATTCATCGTTTATTTCGTTTGCTTGCCTCAAATTTGTCGGAGATCAAACGCGGCGTGTTGAAATGGGCACAATGGAAGAGGAGTCGATCCCTGCGGCGCGCGCGCGCGCGCCTCCCTCGCGACTTATAAATAATTACACGTTGAAGGCGCGTGGCTCGATATAGTCGTGTAGGCACCGCGATACACTCTCTGGTAGCCGCCGTCTCCCTTTACAATTTCGTTTCCTCCGTCTGTCCCTGTCCCTCCGCCCGGGGATAACCGGTTGCCGGAATGATGGATGCGCCGGCGTCCATGCGACGTTCCGTCGCGCGTCACGCACCGCCCGTTCCAGGGTTATTTTCACGAGTGATTCGAGGGAGAGGGGAGGGAGAGAGAGAGAGAGAGAGAGAGAGAGCATCGCGCCCGTGTAATTCACAGTTTCGGGCTCCGCTTCGCGGACATCTTCCCCCATCTGTTCCCTCATTTCTTCCTCCTACGAGATTCCTCCTTCGGATACTTTTTGCCGAATAATATTTAGAAGCGATATTTAGAGGCCGATTAATTTTTAGGCGGCCACTGTATTGCGTAACACGCGTAACTCCCGCTCGTCGAAATCAACCTCGCGAGATATGAAGCAGCTGTTCGTATTTTTGAGATTGACGATTCGATCAAAAATTCATTCTTCGAGAGGAGAATAGACGTTGATATCAAATTTATATCAACTTGTGTAACGTGTGAAAGTTGGCGTGTAAAACTCGAGGTGGAGATGTCTTGGCTTTTGGATTCGAATTCACTCGTGGTGACATTGAGAGGAAAAACGAAAGAGAGAGAGAGAGAGAGGGAAAGATTTTTATTTCGATCAGGTTCGAAGGAGGAAAGCCGTGTCGACTTCCTTCCTTTCTTCCTTCCTTCCTTCCTTTCTTCCTCCGGCAGGTGACGAATGGGGTTAACCGGCACGAGCCGGCTTCTCTCTCTCTCTCTCTCTCCTTCTCTCCTTCTCTCTCTCCCCATCCGAGAGATCTCCGCCTCGTTTCCACGGTTTCGAGCGTTCGCACAACAACACGGTCGACGAGCGTTAATGTATTGTGATCTCTCCCCCTCACCCTGGTCGAGCCTCTTCTTTTGTGGACCGCGTGGCCGTATATTTTTGTTTCGCGGAGAACACGCCGTTCCTGATACAAGCCGCCATCTTAAGCACACAAACAGTCCTCGCGTTTGCCAGCGGTAATGATGATAGTACCATTCCCCAAACAACGGAAGGCGTACGTATCGCCCTTTGATGTCTCCCTTCTCCACTTATTTTCCTTCCGCTTTTCGTTCTCTTATCCACGCTTCGATCGATCATGCAAAAAAGAAATCTTCTTACAAGAGAAGAAAGAATCGATCGATCCGTGGAGAAAGAAGAGAAGGAGAAGAGGAAGAAGAAGAAGAAGAAGAAGAAGAAGAAGAAGAGAAAGAAAAGGGAGGGAAAAGAAGGGGGGATGATGGCGTCACCTAGATGGACGTCGTTTCGTCGATCCTTTCCTTCGGCGAAACGAAAAACGATCCCGGAGTTGAGTCATCCCCCAGAGATTTCACGGTTTCAGGGCGAGCTTTGCTCGACGATGCATTCGTGTATCGGCCGAATCACCGACAACCGGTGCCGGCGCGACGGTAGAGCGCGGTGTAGGGTCCCGGATGAGAAACTTCAACGATCTACTTACTGGGTACGCAGAGTAAACGCGGCGGAAGTGATACTCGATGGTAAGTGTAGGCCTTTGATGATTTCCTGCCAAAGCTTCTTGTTGATCACGTCAACGAGGCCACCCCTCGCTATCACCAAATTATACAATTCGTACAGATCCAGTACAGATTTCGCCATGATCGGCAGCCGATTGATCGGAGTTCCTGAAACCAAGATAATTACCCAAGCAAATGGGGGGAAGATAAATAAGAGGAGAAAGAGAGAGACAGACAGAGAGAAGGGGGAGGGAGGGAGGCTAGTAACGAGAGAAGAAAAAAAAAAAAGAAAAAAAAAGAGAGAAAAGGTATCAAGCTCGAGGCGAACTCGATGCTTCAAAGTCGTCGTTTATCCGTCACGTGATCGGTTTCGGCCGCATTTTCGACCGTGGTTCACGCGGGAATGTTGCACCGCGCTCCAACTTTACGAGGTTTGTCCAAGGCTTGCAGCGAGGGGGGCGTTAACAAGAGCAGTAACGAATTCGTAACGATCACGCGAACGCCGCTGCTTTTACGATCTCCTTACTCGTCGTGTATCGTAGAGCTAGAGCGTGTATATATATATATATATATATAATAAATAGAATAAAGAAAAATGGTTGGGTTTCAAAGGAGAGAGGGAAGGGTGAGAAATAGGGGTGGTTCAAACGGAACGGGTGAAATGGATCGATCGGCGTGGATAATCCGGCGAATATTTTTTCACGCGACACCGGGCCGCGTGCAAAATCGCAATTATATCGAAATTATCGCAAACTCGCTCGCGCGCCAACAACGAACGAGCCTTTTACGAGCTTTTACGCGAGTTTTAATCGGTACTTAAGATAACGCGGTGGAATCGCGCCGGACGCCAAGGAAAACTATAACTACCGCTTTCATAAATCGAGGAAATTAATTTAAAATAGTTGTCACAATCGATACCACGATAACACGACGAAAATTTGGTCGCACGAAACGAGCGCCGTCAATGGCCACTCGACAATTCCGTCGTCGAGCGTTACGAGGCCGTTCGATCCGTGTTAACGGGGTGTTAACAAGTTTTAGCGACTATCTCAACGCGGTTCGACAACGCGTATGTAAACGTCAAGTTTACGAGTATTGCTGGTGCGCTTGATCCGTTCTCGTAAATATACGGGTTCGCATGGGCGAGAATAATCGAGAATGCGTTCAACGGCCGGCCTTTGATCGAATTTTCTTTTCCTTCTTTTTTTTTTTTTTTTTCTTTTTCCTTTCGATTCGAAAGAAAAAACGCGAGAGAAAGGAAGAAAAAGGAAGAGAGAGAGAGAGAGAGAAGACATCGCGATGCCTCGGCCGACGTTCGCACTAAACACATAATTCCAGCTCGATTTAAAGTCACGCGAAAATTCACCGGCAACCGTTGTACATCGCGTGGTGGTAGTCTTACCGGCTCGAAGCCGGTAAATTTTACGAGTTTGTCCAGAGGTTCGAGTTAACGGGGCGTTAACAAGGGCAATACTCGTGACTATCGCGCGTGCGAGCTCTCCTTTGCGGCTCTTTACGAGCTCGCCAACGATACTTCGTACGGAACACCTTGCTGCGAAACAGCAGCAACATCGGCAACAACGACGCAGATGACGACGAGGACGATATACCCCGGAGAGCAAATGGCAAAAAAAGAATAATGACGAGAACAAGGCAACAACGTCCCAACGTATCTCTAATAATAACAGCGAAATAATCCCGCTACCGAGCGGAGTTTTCCTTTGACAGACCTACCAGCGATGAAAAAAAAGGAAGGAAGAAAAAACAAAACGAAGAAAACGATCCACCAATATAACTCTCTCCCTCGATTCCTTCCTAATAATAATAATAATACTACTACTAATAATAATAATAATAACAATAATCATTATTCGTCCGTATCGAGAAATAGAAAACTCGTCTCGAATGAAATTTTCGCGAATATTCTTCCGATTTTTGTATATTTTGAACCGCATTTCCCGTATCTTCCCGCACGGAGGACGAAGTTAAAGGAGACGGATGATCGGGCGGTGGCATCGTATCGGTGGATCGTTTATCCGCCATCGAGAAGGACGAAGGGGGCTGCCGCCATTCCCGGCCTCGAGAGTGGAGGCAATAAAACGTTGCAGGCCGGGGTAGGGGAACCGGCAATTTCGGGCTATCGAGCGTGGTCCCTCCAGCTTTATTATTGGCCCTGCAATTATTGTTGATATACGCGCAACCCGGCAACCCAGGCATAATGTTCCTATATAGGGCGCGGCGATAAAACCTGGCCTCGCAAAATGGCGCCCGATTCTTCCCTGCCTCCTATCCTCCTCGCCACGGACGGGGCCTCGCGGACTCCGAACCCCCTTCGTCGTCCCATCCGCGTACATCCACTCGTATCTCGTGCTTTTTCTTCGCTCCCTGTGCTCCTCCACAAATCATTCCCCGCGCGCGCGCGCGCGCGTTGTTCCCCTTCGAGGAAAATGGCCGGTTTCGCTGCTCCTCGCTCGCTCCATATAACCAGGGAATAAATTCGAGAACGATGGAGGACTTTAACTTCGAGGAGGCGGGAAGACAGATTTTACCCCCTTTCGAGCCCCCCTCCCCTTGTTCCTCCGAAAAGAGAAAAAAGAAAAAGCGAGGAATGGAATCGAGAAACGGATAATCGAGTGTACGGATACATACTTGGAGTATATACTTCTCCTTCCCTCGGAGAAGAAGGTGTGGAAGTCGACGGGAGGAATGGGTCTCATTGTTCGACAGGAATCTAGCGGCGAAGGGGGAAGACGAGGAAGAAGATACGAAGATAAGTGGAAAGAAATGGCGAGGGGAAAAGAAAACGGGGGGGAAGGAGAGTGAGAGAGAGAGAGAGCGGGAGGAGAAGGAGGGAAGGAGAGTGAAAGGAAGAGAGAGAAGAAGCATTTCAGGATGCGATTACGACTTTTCTTGGTAGGGCGTCCAATCAGCAGTTATTTTTATAATGGCCGCCGCCACCGCCGCCACTGCGGCCGCGTCCCGCCGTTGTATTCGAGCCGTAGCGAGCCGCAATGGTGGCCATTGCATGCTCGCTCCGACCAGTCAAAGTAGCCATTCGACGTGGCGTACAGGCGTTATGTACCTATCGGTGTAATACATAATTCTCGGCGCGCTTCGTTGGGAACCGAGGGTACCGAGCGCACAACACCACCACCACCACACGAGCCATCCGACTGTCTCTCCGATCCTCTGCGTATTTGTATTTGCGTATCGTCACCTACATCGCCGCCGTCTTCAACGAAACTCTCGAAGAAGCAGCGAGCGACCTCTTCCTCTCGGAACGTCGTTGAAACGTCGAAGCGTAACGAAGATGAGAAGAAATCGTATCGGCTCGATATTCCGAGACGATATCGCGATGGAATCGCGAAGCGTGAACCCGTGACGGTAGATCGTAACTTCGCGTTTGCCTTTTTCGCTGCTGCCTCTTTTTCCTTTTCTCCTCTCTCTCTCTCTCTCGCTCTATTCCTAATCCATATTCAGCAGAGATATACGGCGAGTCCTCTTCCCCCTCGACTTTCCTAACTCGTCTAATTTTTCTTTCTCTCCTTTTACGCATCCCCACCCACGAGGACGGACGAAGCGAAACCTGGATTGACATTCGACGAAAGCGACGAGCTTCTTCTCTCCTTCCTCTCCACTGGAACGTGATCGTGCGGAATGGTCGACGCGCACCTCTCGCCCCTCTCGCTACCCTCGCCCCACCGCGAGTGGGGGTAATTGGTATAGGAAACAAAATGTTGCGTTTTACGAGTTATCGCGAAGTATATTGGGCGGGCAAGATTGGCGGGCCGAAGAAGGAGTGCCCGATCTAATAACGATCGACTATGTCGGAGGCCTTTATTAACCGACGCAGAAACTGCGACCCGGCTACGCGGCTGCTTTAAAAACCCCCTTTCGGGACGCGCGCGAAACGACTTTTCCCAGAATCTCGCGTGACCACGGCCCTCGAATCTATCCAATATAACCCCTCCAATATATGTGTACGTGTACACACGTATATATACATCGCGCGTCGATTTCTTATCTCGATTAGACGATGTCTCAACCGTGTTATTTGCCGGCATAAAGGGGAAAAAATGGGAAAGCCGTGGCCGATTCGAGCGATATAATTGGTTCGGGTAATATAATTCCCATTCGAGTAACATAAATTTAATATCTTTGCGCGAACGAGATGAGATCGATTTTTAGGATAGATAGTTTCTTCCCCCTCGTATATACGTCCGAACGTATTTCGATCGCTTGTAAATACGAACGAAACGAAACCGCTACTTTCAACGCACGCTTTACGAGCTAATTTGCGGCGTTGCGGCAATGGTATCCGAAGAGAATCGAAACGTCTCCCTTCGAAACTATTCGTTGGGGAACATTCGGAGAGCTTAAAATAGCCTCGAACACTCCGATTACCCGTCGAAAATGTACACACGTCGAAAATGAAAAAAACGGTTACCGTTTTATTAATAACTTTTCCTATCGAAATATAACAAATATATATATATATATATATATATATATATATAATACGTACTTGATAATAATCGTGCCTCCTTCTCGCGAGGAAGAAAGAGAGGGGAGAGGAAGGAAGGGTGGAAACGGAGAGAGAGAGAGAGAGAGAGAGAGAGAAGGAAGGACTTTGTTCGTGGGTGAACGGTTTAACTTTGTTAGCGGCCGGTATTATCGGACGGACGAAAAAGACCGGGATTGGCATTGCGAAGAATAGCCGGGAGGGGGTGGAGTTTCATATGAAATACACGCGACATTTACTGCCTCCACCGGGCCGGGGCCCCTGCAAAGACGCAAACGCATTATAAATAGAACTTTCTCTCTTTCTCGCTCTCGGCCACCCCCGACCCCGGAGAGAGGTGCCATGCCTCCTCGCCCTTCTCCTCCCCCCCCCCTTCCCCGCGCGCTGGAGGCTCCTTCCAGCCCTTCCAGCCCTTCCGCCGGGCCACCAACAGATCGAGAAAGGGTTCGAGGGAAGGAGGGAGAAGGAGGGAGGGAGGGAGGGAGGGAGGGAGAGAGAAACCAGCCGCTACAATCCGCTTTATAATCTTGTTAGGATTTCGCGGAAATATTGGCATAATTTACGATCCGTCTTAGCCAAGTTAACTGTCAAGGGAGTCGCGATGGAGCGTGGAGAGGCGAGGGGGGAGGGGAGGTTGCGACGTGCT